GAGCTGAGCAAACCCTTTGGCGCTATATAAACTCGATGTAATAATAATAGACGAGCTTCGGATGTGAGGACGGCAGGAACAATCCATCGCTGAATGTGGGGGAGCGCGGTTTTACGAAGGATCAGAGGAATGGATAAGTACAGCTTTTCACTGAGCCCCTGGACAAAACGCAGCCCTACTGCATGTGAAAATAAAAGTTTTGACTGGAGTTTTACTTTAATGATACCCTTCCTAAAACTGCTAATCAGAAATGTGGAGCGATATGATCTTCTGTTTTAATACATTCAGACTCTAGGTAACCAAATAGGCAGCGAAAACAACACATCCAACTGGTTAAGAGATTTATCTTTTTCTTGATTAAAGTTGAAAAGCCTTTTAATTGGTGAAAGTTTTAAAGTAGATATGTATTGATAGAATTGCAGCTTTTTGCTGAGTAGGACTTTTTGCTGTTTTTCAGGCTATGCTTTCACAGAAGATGGGGAGTATTTTGCCTATGGTTTAAGTAATAGTGGCTCCGACTGGGTAACTATCAAGTTCTTGAAAGTTTGCAACCAGGAGGAACTGCCAGATGTTCTGGAGAGAGTAAAATTTAGTTGCATGTCTTGGACCCACGATGGTGTTGGAATGTTTTATAACCGTTATCCTAAACAAGAGGGTAAAAGTGATGGTGAGTACCTTATAAAATTGGATTTTACCTCCTTTGGGACTGAATCTGTTTTATGTGACCATGCCTTGTGTTGAAAGCAAAACTACTGGGACATTTTTTTACTCAAAGCAGGGAATACATTAAGGTAAAAATGTCTTGCCATTAGAACCACTTTTATGTGACATGTATATAAATATTCACGCTAATGTTTGTTATCTAGAAAACTACGGGTTGATTTTCTAAAACCATAGAGTGCAAAATCTGGTGCAGCTGTGCATGGTATCCAATCAGCTTTTAACTTCAGCTTGTTCAATTAAGCTTTGCCAAAAAAAAAAACAAAAAACTGGAACCTGACTGGTTTTTATGCAGAGCTTCACCAGATTTGCACCCTCCAGTTTTAGTAAATCAACCCCTTTGTGTGTTTCCACTTCCTGTGTGTCCAGTTTGTCCTGGATCCACCCCAACATCACTGATGTCTTTAATCAGCCAATGAATTTCTGCACCCCAGGATTAATTCTCTGACATGTTTCACCCAATGGGCTTAATCTTAGAGAATCCTCTATGATTAAGCCTATCAAGTGAAACAGGTCAGAGAGTATGCTGCTCCTCCTTTGGATTATACTGCTTGGAGTTCAGCTTTTAAACTAACCATTTAATAGCTGCTGTGAGCAGCGACATGATTTGGTTGCATGCACCAGGTTTAATAGAATCAGCCCTAGTGTTTAATGTCCTATGGCACATAAAATAGCCTAAGACCAGACAATATTTTTCTAGTTAATGCCACAGAATAAAAAGATACTTTTTAAATCATAGGACACGTTTTTAGATAATATGGTACATACATGAATAAGAAAACTCTTTTTGAGACTTTAGCTATTGTATTTAGTTCAGTTGAACATTTATGTCTCATGCAAACTGGGCATTAAAAAAAAATGCTACCTTTACAGTCTTTTGGTGTTCTTTTTTTTTTCTTTCAGCCTGTAGAAGCAACTCTGTGTTAGCCTATTTGTCCATACACAGTCAGGCATTTACAGGCATATTTAAAGAGGAACTTTTACAGGATGAAAAATAAAAGCCATCACAAGCTCATTATTGAGAGCAGTTTTCGGGCAGAAAAAATGTGCATTCGAGGTTTTCAAGTGTAAATTGATTATGGTGAAAAATGAGCAGAGGGGAAAGTTTTGCGGAAAAAAACAGCTTTTCAGGCATTTAGCGTGCATGGACCATTATGGCTTGTATATGTCAGAAAATTGTTTTTCTAGTGTATGTCAAACCAGACAATTTATTTTAGTTTTGGATAGGGTGTCTAATTAAAGGAAAAAAAAAAAAATTACTTGTTAATTCCTGTCTGGTATTAACAATGTGTGACCAATAAGTAAGGGAACCAGGCAGGGGTTCAAGATTTAAGTTTAAGATTTAAGATGATTCAAACAAAAACCCTTACTCTAATTGATTATTCTGAGATACTGTTTTTTGCACATTGTTGTTTTAATTGCGAGTGGTACTCCCAGCAGTACATTTATTTTCCATGTATGAAAGAGTTGGAACCTCTTAATTGTTAGTGCTTCTTTCCCTTTTGGAGATTTTTCCTCACTTCTGTCGCACTGATAGTTAAAATATATCCAAGAGGGACACAAGTTTCAGTAAAAATACTTAATTTATGTATAGATGGAACTTTGGTATTGGTCATCAAGACAAAACATGAGTGGGAAAATAGTTTTGGCTGGAATGTTTAACCGCTTCCCGTCCTTAGGATGTACCTGTACATGTACCTTTTATATAATACGCCCCCTCTTCTCCTTATCATATTACTATCCTCTGTTCCCAAATCTCATTTCCTTACCCCTCTGCTCCACCCCAAAACTTGTACATCTCCCCCTCATTGCTATCATCTACCTACTATTGCTCTCTTCACCTCCCCAAAATGCCTCTTCCACTCCTCCTTCTCATTTTCCTCTCCTCTGTTCCCAAAATCCATTCACTATATCCCTCTGCTCCTCCCAAACATTTGTATATTGTGTCCTCACTACTTCCTTCGCCCCTCTACGGCACCCACCACCTTCTCCTATTACTCCACTCTCCCACTGACCTGAACACCTCCACTAGTAGTTTCTCACGCTCCTGCACATCCCGCTCCCATGCCACCTTTCTCCCCCTTCTCCTCCTCCTAACTGCAGGGGATATCTCCCCGAATCCTGGCCCTCCACCACCTCCCTCACCCGCACAACACCCTCCTGCCTCCATGTCCTGCCGCAACCCCCGCAACTTAGTATCTGTCCCCCTGCTCCCTAAAATCTCCCCCCCCCCCCCGTTTTCATGTGCACTCCTGAATGCCCGATCGGTGTGCAACAAGCTTACCGCCATCCACGACCTCTTTGTTTCCCGCTCCCTCAACCTCCTAGCGATCACAGAAACCTGGATCCAGCCCACAGACTCTACCTCCCCTTCTGCACTCTCCTACGGAGGTCTCATCTGGACCCATTCACCCAGACCTGACGGTTGTAAAGGTGGTGGGGTTGGTCTGCTCCTGTCACCGCAGAGCATCTTCCGAGTCCTCCCAAACCCCCCCTCCCTATCCTTCTCCTCCTTCGAGGCCCACTGCGTCCGACTATTCTCCCCAACCCCCCTGAAGATTGCTGTGATATACCAGCCTCCTGGATCCATACCCCGCTTCCTGGATGACTTTTCCTCCTGGCTACCCTTCTTCCTCTCCTCTGAGCTACCCACCATCATCCTTGGGGATTTCAACATCCCTGTCAACCTCGATAACCCGGACACATCCCATCTCCTCCACTTAACCTCCTCCTTTGCACTTGCACAGTGCATACAATCCACCACCCACTCCAACGGTAATATCCTTGATCTTGTCTTCTCCAACCGCTGAGCTCCCCACAACCTCACTAACACCCCATTCCCTCTCTCTGACCACAACCTGATTACCTTCTCTATCTCCTCGTCCTCCAACGCCTACCCCTCCAAATGTCACACTATTACCAGCCGTAACCTCCGCAACCTCAACCCTGCCTCCCTCCACTCTGCAGCTGATCAACTCCATGACAGCATCCTCCCCCTGTCCTGCCCCGACTTGGCTATGACTGCCTACAACAACGCGCTGTCAACAGCCCTTGACTCACTAGTGCCTTTAACCACACGCAACATCAGACCCCGACCGCTCCAGCCCTGGCAGACTGATCACACCAAAACCCTCAAACGACACAGTCGTGCCCTGGAGTGACTCTGGTGCAAAACAAAATCCCAACAAGCCTTCACCCGCTACAAATCTGCCTTCCACACCTACACCTCCTCCCTCCTCCCTCCACGCAGCCAAACAAGCCTACTTCTTGACCCTCATCAAGACCCTCTCTTCCAATCCTCGCCGACTCTTCTCCACCTTCAACTCTCTACTCTCGCCACCCCCACCTCCACCCAGCACCTCACTCACCGCCCTTGAGATTGCCAATCACTTCAAAAACAATGACCCGAACAACCTCAGACCCATCTCCCTGCTCCCATTTACATCTAAACTCCTCGAACGCCTCGTCTACACCTGCCTATGCTCTCACCTCAACGACAACCATCTCCTCGATTCCCTACAGTCTGGCTTCCATCCCCTACACTCCACCGAAACCGCCTTACTCAAACTCTCCAACGACCTTCTAACCGCCAAAGCTAATGGCCACTATTCAGTGCTCCTACTCCTTGACCTCTCTGCGGACTTCGACACAGTCGACCACCTCCTCAAAAAAAAAAAACTACACTCCCTCGGCCTCAGAGATTCTGCTCTCTCCTGGCTCTCATCCTACCTGTCACAACACTCCTTCAGCGTTACCTATAATGCTACCACCTCCCCCTCACTCCCCCTCTCTGTTGGGGTCCCTCAAGGCTCTGTCCTTGGGCCCCTTCTCTTCTCCATCTACACCTCCTTCCTTGGCCAACTCATACACTCACGGCTTCAACTACCACCTCTATGCCGACGACACACAAATCTATCTCTCAACCCCCCACCTCACCCCCTCGGTCTCTGCCCGAATCACACACCTACTGAGCGACATATCAGATTGGATGTCGCTCCACTTCCTTAAACTGAACCTCTCCAAAACCGAGTTTCTTGTCTTCCCCCCAGCCTGGACCCCACCCCCCCATTGACTTCTCCATCACATCCAACAACGCCAATATCAAACCCGCCCTGCAAGCCAGAGTACTTGGTGTCATTCTGGACTCCAACCTATCCTTCCAGCCCCAAGTCCAATCTTTAACCGTTTCAATACCGTGCAATTTTACACCTTCCTGCCCAGGCCATTTTTCAGGTTTCAGCGCTCTCACACTTTGAATGACAATTGCGCGGTCATACAACATTGTACCCAAACTAAAATTTTATCATTTTCTTCACACAACTAGAGCTTTCTTTTGGTGGTATTTAATCACCGCTGGGGTTTTTATTTTTTGCTAAATTAACAAAAAAAGACCAAAAATTTTGAAAAAAAACCACATTTTTCTTTGTTTCTGTTATAAAAGTTTACAAATAAATAATTGTTCTTCATAAATTTAGGCCGAGATGTATTCTACTACATGTCTTTGGTGAAAATAACCCAAATTATGATGTATTTTTTAGTTTGTAGGAAAGTTATAGAGTTCACAAACTATGGTATAGATCTGAATATTGATCAATCCTGAAGTACTGACAGCCAATCTAATTTCTTGAGGTCCAAGAATGTCAGAATAGTACAGATATCCCCAAATGACCCCTTTTTGCAGAGTAGACAGTCTGACGTACTTCATAAGAGGCATGGCGAGTTTTTTGAAGTTGTATTTTTTTGTCATAATTTTTCGGAAAATTAAAAAAATTATTTTCACAACTTTTTTTTTTTACATACTGACACCAGTGCAGTACAGTGTCATCATAAAACTGGCATGGCGGTGAACAGGGACACTGACTGGTGACAGTATGAAAAAAAAAAATATATATTTTTTTTTTATTTTTTTTTTTTTTTTTTATATTTAATTTTTTATTAAATTTTTTT